AACGCATAAGATTTCCAGGTATTTCCAGCAACCGCATAATTTCTTATAGCGATATCGCCATTTTTATTTTTTTCACAATGTCTCTGATGTTCGTCTCATTCTTTCTCGACAATCAGTACGAGTTCTTGTTCTTTTCATCGATTTCCAGCACAGTTCTCAATCTTGTCCGCAACTTCTCGGTCACTTTCTCAATCTTTCCAACAAACTTTCAGTCGTTTTCTCATTCTTTTCACAGTGACATTACTGAGCCATATGTGAGAGCAATGCACGGTTGAGTGTTGTCAGATCAATCACAAAGCGTTCTCGTCCAACTCATGCTGAGCGCTATGAGTTGTTCGCGTCAATTAATACATGTACTGAAATGCTGACAGCTTTGAAGTGAGATTATCTAGTGAATTACGTCCACGTCCTATACATGTTAAGAAACGTATTTCTCAGATCATTTTGAGCTTAAGGTTCTCTCCTTCATCAAATGCTTGGAAACTATCGAAATGTCTAGGAACCCATATTATATGGGTGCCATACATGCTTCTTTGTAGTCACATATTAAGTGTTGAATAACGTCATCGCTTAGAAATGCAGTCTCAGCAATGAACCAGGTGAATGAATGAAATTAATTTGAATGGATTTACATGACCGAATAACAGTCGCTTTATCCATTCGCNGACGAATGCATGGATTTGCATGTGGTTGATTATTGTGCAGCGATTTGAGTTGATGAGTGCTTGATGATATCACATCAAACACTGTGATGATATCACAGTGCTTGATGATATCACATCAAACACTGTGATGATATCACATTATTGTGCAGCGACATCACTTGATGATATCACAAATGATGATATCACATTTGAGTGCTTGATGATGCTTGATGATATCACATTTGTGGTGGTTGATAATCTGATTGTGCTTTGTATTTGGGCATGACAGTTTGTTTGAAATGCCGTTTCAACTTCAGAAAGAATAAGTCGAAACTTACAGCAAGAAACAGTTTAAACATTGCTTGCCAGCATTACTTGCCAGGTTTGCAAAAGCATTGCTTGCCAGTATGCAATCGTTCAGCATTCAGCGAGTAATTCCTAACCTTCATATCATTTCATTGCTCATGTATTTGTCTCTTGACAGCATTAATTGCTTATTACTGTTGTTCCCTAATTCCATGATTATTATTATTTCAGAATTCTTCGCAAATTCAAATCGATATTTTCTTTACAGTCCGCCACGACACATTCCTGCCCCTAGTGCGCGACTTCCTCAAGCCACATGACACCATTAATTGATGATAGGCTATTGTTCCTTGGAAATACACTTTCAGAAAATTATTTATTGAGAAATCTACACCAAAAATTTGGGTCTGAAATTTCTATCACTCGTCCTTACCACATTTATTATAGAAAAACAGAGAATTCTGGACGCAGAAAAGAGCCCTGCTTACTGCGGAAATTGATGAAGCTGACTTACAACAATACAACTGAGAAGATGAAATGAACCCTATTTTTGGTAAATTTGGAAGGATTGAGAAATATTATGAAGTTAAAGAAGGTGATATAAACATGTAACGCGGAAAATCGGTAGGTAACTTAGATAAGGACACCAAAGGTGAACTGCTCTGAGAAAAGGTTTCGTAAGAATTCAAGTCACATTGGATGTGTTTCTGTTTGATCAATTGCGGATGAATCTATCAATAGAATTGAACCATATCATTACTAATTAATAACAACTGCTTCCGGACTGCAGATGAATCTCTCGGTAGAATTGACCGCTTCCGGAGTGCAGATGAATCTCGCGGTAGAATTGGTCGTTTCCGGCTTGCAGATGAATCTCTCAGTGGAGTTGACTGTTTCCGAATTGAAGATGAATCTCTCGGTGGAAGTGACTGTTTCCTTGTTGCAAGCACCTGAAAATATGCCTGCTAAACACTTGGACATAGCGGACGCATTGTTCTTTATCTGACTGGCAGTGATATCAGGGTTCACTTGCGGATCTTAAATATCATCATGAAAGCTTTTGATCTCAATGTGATCAGCAGCTTGCAATGCATCTCCATAAACCCCTCCAATTTATCAAACAAACACTGATAGATGAGAATTTTTTTGACATGCACATTCAGTGACACCATCTCTCTTCGTGTCCTCGATCAAACTCATTCTTGGCAATCTTCGTCTTTTCTTTTCCGCAACGAAGGAACGATGTTCTGTCACTTGTGTTCCTTTGTAATGCGTTTTGGAATGCGTGCAAGGATTAATTGGTCAAGGAAGCCAGAGACCAGTGAGTTCCATCAGTTTGAAGTTAAAGCATAGCACAAGCCGAGGGTGTGTTCATCAACAGGCACATGGAAATGATTTGAAGAACTGATCATCACCTCCGTGATTGAAACTTCCCTACTCCGTGACTTGATTTGGTTCGGATTCTGTTTAGAGATAACACGAATTTGAGTATAGCTCATTGATAAGCGATTGCTTTTCAAATTCGCATTTAATAGATCTCATTTTCATTCAAATTTCAACCGCTTTTACTTACATCGTCCTCTGGCTCTTTTCTTGGAGGTATTGGTTCGCTTATTTTTTCTTTGTTTTCTTTTCTCGGTTTTGATTTCTTCGATCAGAGCCTGATGTAAGCGATCCTTGTCAGGTAGATTGTAGCTGGATGTTTGGTTACGGTTCATCACTTTACCTTCTTCGTCAGCAGTTGAACAATCTAAAATCATCTGGAAGTTAGTAAAGCGAGGAAAGCTATCAGCCATTTCTATGTTAATGAGGGTATGCTTACCTGTCGATGGAACAGCAACGGTGAGAAGAACCAATGGAATGATGACCACATTTAGCATATTGCTCGTGTTGATGAATCGTGAACGTCCTATCGGGAGAGCCAACGTTTTAATAGAATGAAGTTTTGTGCTGTCATTTATATACGCTTACTTAAGTAACTGTTTAGCAGGAATTCATGACGTAATCACGCTACTATCGTATTTATAATAGTTGTCGTTCTCAAATGTCACATAATGTCCTTGATACAACGTCATCGTTAACAGGCTCATGAATTGTGGAATACTGTGCGAAAGGTTTGAGTATAGGGCATTGGGTTGATGAAATTATTTGAATAAAATACGTTGGCATAACGTTGTCATTTGCACTTTCATGAATATTCAAGTGAAAATGCAACTGATGGCTCCAATGATCCATGTTCGTTTGCTTAAAGCGCTTTCAACAAGAGATAGAATGAATCGAAACCTACAGTTTCAGCAAGGAAATAGTTTAAAGAAAGTAATATTATTTCACCTTTTGTGAACACTAATATTATGATTTCTTAAATAGCTGTTTGCTCAGCTGAATCTCACCAGCAACAGTCACACCAGAAACCTGCCAACCTCATCGGTGCACCTCTCCATTAAACCCAATTCACAACGAAAACTTGACCTTCTCATATTTTCTAAGGTTTCTAATGAGGAAAAGACGGTTTTATGATCACCTCTTAGTTTGCATAATCAAAATACTTCGCTAAACGATGAAAGTTATGGTTCTTTACCGGTCATGAGTTCACCGCTTAATGCCCGCAAATCCACTAAATAAGGAAATTATTTTTCCTGACATCACGAACACTTTTGGCCGACATAGACCCTTAGATGACTCAAGCAAACTCATAAGATTTCGAGGTGTATCTTAGAGCGATATCGGATTTTTTTTTTCATAGTGACTCTAATATCCATCTCATTCTTACACAGAAAAAGAAATAAGCAGTAGGAATAGATTACCTCAGGCCCAACATTTCAAGCGAACTGATAAGGTTTTTACATTATCTTCATAACAGGTCTTTTTGTATTAAACGCCGACCGCCGATTAATTGACATTTTTGAATTTCGCGACGCTAGTTACAATGTGTGATCAGATGTAACTGAAACGACGTCATTAAGGGTG